ACCCGTGAAAAGCCACAACGGCGTTGGAAGCATTCAGCATCTGCTGCGATTTCGTTGTTGCGAACATTTTCTTCCCAACGTTGACTCTCGTCCAGCTGTAGACAATGAAATCTCCAATCTCGAAGAAGGGCCTTCCCTCAGCACAAGCGCCTTCTATGTTTCATTGCGCCACAGCTGGAAGATCTCTTCCAGCTGTGACGCAATGAAATCTCCAATCTCGAAGAAGGGCCTTCCCTCAGCACAAGCGCCTTCTATGCTCGATCTATGCGACAATCTCTCTGCATAGTTCTCAAAGGCAACGTCTACAGCAAACAAAAGCTGCGCAAATTTCACAGTGTCATCCCAACTCGTGACACCAAATGGCCATGATCTCTTTGCCATGGCTCTTGAAACATAAGACCTTCCCAGTCAAAACCAGTTCAGTCCCAATTTCACAGTGTCATCCCAGCTCGTGACACCAAATGGCCATGATCTCTTTGCCATGGCTCTTGAAACACAAGACCTTCCCGGTCAAAACCAGTTCAGTCCCAACAAGTGCAAACAGACAATGTCCGTCTTGCAGTGTCAAGCGACATCTAAAGATCTAGATCGTATGTAACTTCTCCACTCTTTCTCACTGAAACATTTCGAAGAGATACATCTATTACATTTATATTCTCAACCGTTTCAAGTGTGAGCACTATTATCTTATTCACGTTTCTGCTTGTGCTTGAACTCGCGTCGGCTGTTGCAGAGGGTGTCAAAGCACAAGCTGCTTTCCAAATCCCTTATCCAACACTTTCAAAAGCAGCCACAGGCCAATGTGCTTACTTCCACTCAAACTCCTCGCCTGCGCAGCACACGCAGATTGGTCACCCGCTCCCATCACCTGCCAAGCAAACAAAAACACGGAAGAAAACATTATTTGACTGTCACCAGAGTACACTAGTTGATATTGTTCACCTGTGCCCAATTTTCAAACTCTCACCAACTTCCAAACATAGACTAACTCACAACTGACCTGCCGACAGTCCACGCCTGTTCTGTCACAGCCTCCTGTCATACAGAAACAAGAGCAAGTAACATACAGCCATCCACATCTTTGAAACACTATCTTTCTCCCAAACTGTCTAGACAGACAATTCCAAACATACACTAACTCACAACTGACCTGCCGACAGTCCACGCCTGTTCTGTCACAGCCTCCTGTCATACAGAAACAAGAGCAAGTAACATACAGCCATCCACATCTTTGAAACACTGTCTTTCTCCCAAACTGTCTAGACAGACAGCTCCTTCACAAACAAACCAAACTGCCGCAGAGACATGTTCATAAAAGAGCAAGTAACAAATGCCCATACACATCTTTAAAACCCAGTCTTTTCTTCCACACTTGCTAGACAGCTTCTACCACACACCAAACTGCTGAAGAGACATGTTCCTGACGACGTTGTGTCTATCAAGCGCTTCTCTACAAGCAGCCTCTCACTACTCAAACTTTTTCTCCAGAGCTGCTTCCAAACAGCTTAGCTCATAGACCCGCGCATCCATCAGACAGCCCCGCCCACAAGCAGTTAAGTCCCAAGGATGCCACCCGCAACGTCCAGCTCTCCCAGCCCAAAAGCCGTTAGAGCCCATGCTGCGTGCGAACCGTCCAACCCGAAGCCTGCCACTGTGGCTCCTGCCACTCCTCCTCATAGCTGCTACGGCTGGTGAGAGCATTGGTTTCCCACACATGGTCTCCAACCTCCCAAAACGGAGCTGCAGTGCGAAACACAGCAGCACGCTGCTCCAACTCACCATTCACCACACGGCCTTCATATGCAACATAGAAGACTCTATCACCTTCAACCTGCGGCACAATGAACATCACATCGCCCGCATGTGTAGTGCCCGGCGGCTGGAGGCATACATAGATGCGCTGAGAACCGACAGAACTCAACTCGTAGCGCCACACATGCCCAGCTCCTTTGCGAAATCGGCTCCGGGTGCCAATGAAAATTGTCTGTGGACGCTCAGACGCCACAACCAAGCCTGTGATAGAAACAGGCTCCGACATGGCTGGACGAAGAAAACCAAACCTCAGTCGCTTACAGCAAGAGTTGAGCCAATACGCACTGCTGCATTAATGCTGCTAAAAGTGTTCATTTCGTGACCATTTCTCACAACATGTCTCCACACACGATCTCATGTCTTGACTGTCGAAACTCAACCACTGCCACATGCCCACAGTAAAGCTCCTGAGCACAAAATCTTCCATCCCAATGCCACGCATGTACCTGACAAAGCGACAGACGAAATCATTTGTGAACATCCCGCCAATCAAACTGTATGCAGCAAACCAATGTCTTGTGAAATTGAATCGACAAAGAATTTGCAAACCAAATTCTTTGTTTCAGACAAAGTATGTTTCAGCCAAACCAAATTCCACATGACTTCTTAGTGTCCATTCCTTGAAACATATCCGATTCACTTAGGCAACTTCACTATGTCATCCCAACTCCTGACACCAAATGGCCATGATCTCTTTGCCATGGCTCCTTTGGCGTTGCAGCGTTTGTTTTTCACGCACATCAGCAGTCTGGTAGGATCTTCGCACTGACAGCATGCACCCAGACGACATATCCTGGGCCACAGGTTCACATTTGAAGCCCAAAGGCTGTACCAGCTCAAGGCGTGACCTTCGTCATCCAAACCCAAATGTCATAATTTTCGCTCACTAATTCCTCAGAGGTCTGATCACAACAGTGTCTGTCCACATCCATCGTGCGCAAATGCTGCAGCAGTGTCAAGAGCCCTTGTTTCAGGCTATGCACGATCTCAACACCGGACATGACTGACAGCAACTTCTGCCATGCACTTGTTACAGTCTGAAGGCGCGTGGCCTTGTCCATGTCCGATACGTAACCGACCTCCAAAGCTTTCACCAAGAGCACTGAATCAGAAGCAACCTCATACACATCCAACCCCAAATCTTCATTTTGATGTTGCTTCGCATGTTGGTGCCTCTTTGCACAGGTCACCTTCCGTGGAAGAACTCCACGCTGTAAGGTGCGCAAGTCAAAGGCAATCTCCTCATACTTCTTCATCATTGTTTCGCTCAAAGTTTCCAGAAGTAACTCCAGTTGACGATGCGAAAGCAAACACTTGCGATACTGCGGATCTTTGTTCAAACAATTTTGTTGCGTTTTGCTTCTTGTTTCTATCAACCACGACGAATTTTCAGAAGTGTAGAAATTGCCAAGCTCCCTGTGGATCATTCTGCGCTGCTGCGCTGCCAGCTCCATCAAGTTCAGCGACTTGAACTGAACTCGGTCAACTCGACAACGCGACAATGCTTCAACAGCTTCTGATGCCGCCAGAAGCCCGGCCCTCAAATTTTTCACATTTTCGTCAATCTTGGCTAACATCTCCGCATGCACCTGTGTGGCTGCGACCAATGGAGTGCCTGTAATGGCCAACGTAAAAAGATCATTCTGTCGCACACATGCTTCAATACAATCCAGTAGACTCTTAATTGTGTCATCCGCGCCCTCCAGCGGCAACTCTTCACCTGAACGAGATGTTTTCACGGTGCTGACAGAGGGCGTTGCCTCTTCTTCCACACCTCGCTTCTTAATGCCAGTGAAACTTGCAGCAGGCACCCGGACAGCCCCGGTCAAAACCGGTTGAGTCCCTTGGATCCCTGCCGCAGCTCCAGCAGAAACATTCACACGGTCTTCGCCAGGCGCCAAAGAGCTTGAAGACGTCTGGACAGCTCCAGTCGAAACCGGTTGAGTCCCATGACCTTCTTGCCCCCGCACCGGACATCCAGCCCAATGTGTGTTGTGCCAGCGGACCGTGCAATTCATGCGGACATGCTTGGCTTCTGGCTCAGCCCCTTCATGCAAAGCAATTTCCTGCTGCAGCCCAACTTT